GAAAAAAAAGGGGGAGGGGGGAGGTGAATAAGGACGACATAAGTTTGACAGGAAAGAAAGGGCTAACTAAAACAGAGCACCTGCCAACCACCCACTCCCACAACTGAATAAAGAAAAAGATGTCGCAACCGCAACAAATCAATGACTAATAATAAAAATAATCACGCTCAAAATAAATTAACCCTTTCCGTACGTCGTGTGTTACTATCGTATCCAAACGACGTGGGAAACTCTGTGCCACCACTTTCCAAAGAGGAAATTTACCCGTTAATTCGATCCGTACGCTTGCCTTTGCTTAGCAGTCTGTCAAAATGATTTTTTGAGAAATACTGAAAGTTTCAAAGAGATCTGACAGTGGGTGGTTGGTGGGTGCTCTGGTGTGATTTGCTTCTTCTTTCCTATCAAACATCTGTCGTCCTTATCTCCCTTTCTTCTTTTTTGTTTGTTACTCTCTTGTAACACCTCTAATCTTCTGGCGCCCATATGACCTTATGCAGTTGCGAGCGCCGGAAAACCTCTACTAAAGATTAAAAGAGATCTTCGTGCTAGAAGTATTCTGAAATGTGAAGAATACAACCCTGGGGGTACTAAATGAGCCCAGGGCGTACGGATAGGGTTAAACTCCCACAACGAAAGGCAGTTACATCAATATTGCATTAATTCAGCCGTTCATGAATAAGGAATGCGAGACACGGGGGGCCAGAGATGGGAGAACTGCGACAATGACCGATCCCAAAAGCAATAGCAGTTTTCAGTTTTAGTAGGAGTTTTACGGCACTTGCAACACATTAACCCTATCCGTACGTCGTGTGTTACTATCGTATCCATACGACGTGGGGAACTCTGAGCCACCACTTTCCAAAGAGGAAATTTACTCGTTAATCCGATCCGTACGCTTTGCATAGCAGTCTGTCAAAATGATTTTTTGAGAAATACTGAAAGTTTCAAAGAGATCTTCGTACTTGAAGTATTCTAAAATGTGAAGAATACAACCCCGGGGGCACAAAATGATCCCAGGGCGAACGGATAGAATTATGGTCATATAGGTGCAAAAGATTAGAGGAGTTACAAGAGAGTAAAAAGAAAAACATACCCAAACAAAAGAAGGAAAGGGGGGGGGGAGTACAATAGGCGTTCGGTAAGAAAGAAGGAGAAAACCACATTAGAGCACCTGCAAACCACCCACAGAAACAGTTCATCCGACCAAGACAATAATCATCTTCAGCACAGACCAGGGAATTGTTTGTTTGCTTGTTTGTTTGGTTGTTTGTTTAATTGTTTGTTTGAGCAAAGACAAGCACATCGACACTACAATGGTCAATTAGTGCTGGG